TAAATATAAGCGGAATCCTGATTAAATGATAGAAGATAAAGAAATTAGGGAAAGGAATAGAAGGGGGGTTAAATCAAAGAACTGTATGCTATTCAATTAGCTGATGCCAGTAGTGTTCAACAATACTGCTTAATACAAGTTATGCCATATTAGCTTCTGTCCTCTGTTTTTTGCTTAATTTAAGACTAACTGTCCTTCCCAAGTGGCCTTTAGCTACTTGTCAAACGGACTAAGTTCTTGTATTTAGTTTATTCATTTGTTTGCCACTTCATTTGTTTGCTACCCTTTAATTTTTCAGTTTTTTTAAGCTCATGTTACAGGATTTTTATCTTAATTTCTATACTTTCTATACTTTCTTCTTCATCCTTCCTAAAATAATAGCAATAAACAACACAGTAATAATAGCAATTATTGCAGAAAATTACTCGTCTTTGGAAAATACTCTCACGTATACATGCATCTACCTTGAAATTAACATTAAGTTTTTATCCAAACGGTCCTCTTCACAACATATATAAATTAAAGAATAGACATAATCAAAAAATAGATGATGCTAAGTCAGAAAACAGTAAACCTACAAGGTCATTTTAGCAACTTTTCCAAAAAAAAAAATGAAAATTATATAATTTCATGAGGCACAAAACCATTAATTAATTAAAAGAAGACAGAAGTAAAATAAATTTAGCGAAAAAGTAAAATAGAAACACAAACTTGGAAATTTACTTGCCTAATAATAAATTATTAAGTTTATTTTATTGTGTTAACAATATCAAATTCAGTAAAAATAAGAGTAGACAATTCAAAAATTTTATCAGAAAAGAAAATTTTCAAAAAAAATGAAGGTATGCTCATTAAAACTTTGAAAAGAAAGTAAGAAAGGAAAAAAAATAAAGCAAAAGCTAAAAGATAAAATAAAAAGGGAGAAAGTGAAATGCTATAAACAATAAGAAAAGAAAAAAGAAAAGTTAACCAAACAGCTGAAAAATAAATGAAATAAAAACAAAAAGAAAATGACATTTTGGCAATTGGATAAATGAGTTGTCTGCAAATGTCACTGGTAGAAATTTAGGTCAAAATCATACATAAATAAGCACTTACTCGCTCTCTGGGAATTGGAGTGTTGTTGGACTCCAATACTCAATGATTCCCTTTGTGTCAACAGATATCACTGTGTCAAATACTGGATTATATTTCACAACTTTTACCGGTCCCAAGTGTACCTAGAAATAAATACGAAAAGACAAATGGAACACAGTAAATTTCAGAACCAGTACAAGAAAACAAAGAAGGGGAAAAAATCTGTGAAAGATTTGAAGACATTGAAACTTCAAGACAACTACATACCTCTTTAGAGTTGATAGGTTCATTTGAACCAGCTCTAGCATCATATATATGCACAAACGAGGAATTTCTATCACTAATGGCAAGCTTAGCTTTAACTTCTCCTTGCTTGTAGACCCACTCAACAGTGCCAGGCACAAATGGAACACGAAGCATGACCATCATGTCATAGTTAACCACATCATATATCTTCACTGAATGATCATTAGAAATTGTGCAGCAAAGCAATCCATCTGAGCTAACCTGCATAGCTGAACCAAAGTCATTGTTGGTAACTACACCAGAAATCAGAATTTGTTAACAAGGAACACATACAAAAGTTGCAAATATGAAAGAAAAACTGAAGGATATGCGTGTCTTCAAGCAAAAGAGAGCAAGTTCATGGAAATATGCAAAAGAACTAACACATTCCATGTTGCATAATGTAAATGCATATATGCTATGGATACTTAAACCTAATTTGTTATAAAATTACTTGAACCAAATTGGAAAAAATGAGTTGTGGAAGGAGAAAGAGCTCACCGCTAGACCTTCAATGGGGCCAAGATGGGATCTAAAATGCTTTGCGAACTCAATCCCAATAGCCTTTTTCTTCCAAAATTTTAGATGTCCTGGTTTAAGGATAAAAAGAACACAAAAAATTTGAAAACAATTAAAATTCAATGTTATCCAGTAAAGACCACAAATATTAGACCTGAGAAGGTGGAAATAGAATTAAATTGGAGATTTGAAACCCAACCTTCACATTTCTTTTTGAATTTGATAATTGCACTACAGAATTGAAATTTCTACTACTGGAGATTTATAAAAAACGAAAAGCAATGAAAAGATAAACAACAAGAGAACCCCACCCATATTCAAAAAAATGGGAAATTAAATATTAGTCACATATCAATAAGGGTTCCACAAGTCCTCGTCAGAATAAAAAGGATGACCCTTCAACAAAAATAAAAAGGTTCGTGAACCATAAATCTATAACTGCACCAATAGAGATATTCATGACATAAGCACCCCATTCACCTCAAATTTAAGCTATTCACTTGGCAAAATAACATTTACAAAAAAGGAAAATGAAAGAAAGAACAGGCATGTCAACTCCAATGGTGCATAAAATTTCCTTCTCCACATATTGATAAGATATTTATCTTATTCCTTCTCTTGTAAATCCTAATTGATTAATGGTTAAAATCACTCATAAAGCAGCATATGAAAAAGCAGCAGCAGAATTAGATGCTAACGCAAGGAACCGACAAAATTTTCAAATTACCATCAATACTTCCAGTTATGAAAAAATCCGCTGCTGAGACAGCCACATGTGTAACCACATCTCTATGCATATAACTTTTCTCATACCTGCAAATAAAAGCATCAAACAACATGCCACCATTTCTATCTACAGCATCTTGTTCACATACACCAGATTCAAATGGCAAAAAGAAAGAATCACGTAAGATTCTACTTAGTTCCAAATCCAGAGGAAAAAGGGTGTAAAATGTATGACAAGTTACCAGCAATAAGATCTAATATATCCAACATTTCACTTCATATGAAATGATAAACAATTATGAAAAGAAACAAGTTGTCAAGAGGAAAAACTCATAAAAATTAAGAAAACAGGAGGAAAATAGAAAAGATCACAACAACATTGGTAACTCCAGCCCATCAAAGTGCAAGAACACATGCATGCAAGGCTCAGACTCTGGAAAACCCTGTGATGCATAATGGGTTATCTCTAGAATACCTAAGTAAATTAGGAATTATAGAAATATTATATATATAACTACTCTACTACCAAGGAGTCTATTACTATAGTTTTAGTAACTTTATAGTTTTATTCGTATTAGTATTCAGTTTTCCTATTAGTATTAATTGTATTAATATTTTCTAGTTATACTACAAGTAGTATTTCCTACTGTATTTGAGAAAGACTTCTTAAAGACCCTACAAATACCTTTGTAACCTCTTAGAGATTACCATTCAATTATTTGATAAAATAATTTGAGAATTTCTCAATTTTCTAATTGTGTAATGCTATCAAACCCTTAAACATGATATTTACGACTTCTTAGATCTGATACCTAACAAACCATAGGTGTATTGTTTAGATTTTTTTTTTTTTTTGAAATAAAAAGAATGAAAATATCATTGATAATCTTTACCAAGTAGATATCAACCTGTATACAAAGTATTTAAAAATCTACCAGTATATCAATAAGGTCCCCTAAGTCCTCCATAGAGTAAAGAGGATGACTCAATAACAAAAATCCAAAAGTTTAGAACCATTATTCCTAACAAAATCAAAACTATTGTCAATGTCTATTTCTTCAAAAACTCTTTTATTCCTCTCCTTCCAAACCGCTCAAAAGCTGGTGAGTGGAATGAGGTTTCCTCCGCCCATATTTATTCTCTGACCGAGCCAGCCATCACCCAATTGATTCCTAATAGTCTGTAGACCATAGTCCATAGTTTGTACACCACCAGGCACCAGAGAAATACATGGTTACAAGTCTCCGCAGCCCTTTTACAGAGATAGCATCGATTCACCATAACCTTACTCCGTCTCATCAATTTGTCGATAGTCAAAATGCATTCTATGCCGACCTCCTACGTAAAAAAAAGAAAAAAAAGGAGTAATGTGTAGATTTTTATCACTAAATTCCTAATTGGACAAATCAATCCTATTTATTAAAGCCAAAAGAATCCTACACTCAAAATCTCAAAACCCTATATCCAAACAACCTTGAACCCATCTACTAGGAAAAAGAAAAGATTACATAGAAACCCTAAAATCGCTGCTACTCCACCCACTAGCTACGGCCAAGAGGTGGTTAACACAGCCTCTACCACTGGTCTTGGAGGACTATGATCAGCACACACCCAAAGCCCCACATCTAAACTCCACTAGGAGATGCACCAATTGTTGCTGCAACTTCTCCTTCCACTGTCTCACTTCATAACGTACTTCCAGAGAACTATATCTCACACTGACCTCCAATCTGCAACTACCACCTCAATCAAGTTGATTAAACAAATATCGCCAATGTCTGGTGATTGGAAGCCGGCACATGGGCCCATGCACGTGCAACAGCAAGCGGGTATTTTAATATTGTGCTCTGTTTTTACTTTTTTAAACTAAGTTTGACCTATTTGGTTCACCTAGACTGGTCTACTGGTCCCAGATCAGTTCCCAGCAGTTCAAAACCAAGTACTTTTGTCCACTCTTTTTATTTTGCAGTCTCTTCACAAAAGTTTATGTAATGGAAAAGGTTTAAAACATGTGAAATAGTAAGAAAGATAATAGATCATAGCTCAAGGATAATAAAATTGACAAATCTTTTGTAACTGTAAGTAAGCAACACTATGCAGTTAAGGTACAAAAAGATCCAAAATATTTCTCCAATTTTCCAAATTGGAGCCCGTTCTGAAAATAAATATTAGAAACTTGTCATTCATGAAGATTCTTGCAGGAATCTTGTTTCAATTTCTACATTTAAACAAATCTTTCAATGCAATCGCATCCGCACCCATATAGATTACCTTTGAAAGATTATTCAAGCATTTTAGTAACTCAAGAAACTCTTGTTTCTATTCATCATGGCACCTGCATTGATCCAATCTTGTGCGATGTTGTTCATATGATGTTCACATATACTCTTTTAGGTCAACTTTAACTGTATAATCAATATGTTCAACATTATGAGACTGCCAATAGTTATCATTTTATGCTCCGCTTGAAGGATGTAGCTTTAAAACTTATGATTACAGAAGAAATGAATAAATATAAACATCCAAATCATCTGCAATCAATGAAGAAGATAAAGAGAAGGAACTTGTTGAAGTTGACAAAAGAGAATAACTGTCATGTCTTCCTAAGAATAAAGATTTTCAGGTCACTCAAGACCTTTCACTACCCAAAAAAAGTCCTATAGAAATTTAGTAAAAAAGGAATCTAAGTTAATAATTGTGTCTAGTGATGTTCAACTCAAGAATGAAATTAAAATGCAACTTGCTCAATATATTGATTTTATCCTATTATTAGGATTCCATACTCATGAATAATTGTGTGTTTCCATCACATTTGTCACTGAAGAGACTGGTCATGCACAGAGTTCGTTAATTTTCATAAGGGAGCTCGAGGATCAAGTTTGTACATCATTTGACACTTTAAAACTCGTGGAGGATTTCTCCAACCAGTAGAAAATAACGCATAATGGGCTAGCTCTAGATAACCCAAATAAATTAGAAACTAAAATTATATTAAATATAAAGCTATTATATTATTTAGAAGTCCATTACTATAATGTTATTAACTTTAAGATTTTATTCTTATTATTATTTAATTTTCTTATTAGTATTAGTTGTATTAATAATTTTTATTTGTATTAGTGGTAGAATTCACATTCTTATTATAAGTGGTACTTCTTGTTCTATTTGGAACAAACTTATTTAACACCCTAAAAATACTTTTATAATCTCTTGGAGATTATCATTCAATTATTCAATAAGTACTTCGAGAAATTATCAATTGTCTAATTGTGTGATGCAATCGAATTCTAAGTGTGATGCTTAAAATTTCTTATATGTGATGTCTAAGAAACTCTAATTGTGATGTCTAGATTCTTATTCTCAAATCTCTAATTGGACAACTCAAACATATTTGTCCTACATCACCCTAACCATTCCTCTCACGTACTAGAAGCAAGAATCCAACAAGACTCACAAAATCCTATTCTAATGAAACATGCTATAATATGAAATATAGATAATCAGAGATCAGTACATCAAGGGGTATTCCCTGAATTTGCAGGGATGAACTATAGACCCTTACAAGGAA